TCATTCAATATAACGTCTTTGGGATTCATCCATATTACGTGTATCAGTAGTTTCATCTTTTAAAAAAATTCCTGTGTTGTATTTCATCATGTGTACATGCCGTAACTTATTTTTTCATTCGACCACTGATGGATATTTGGGTTGCTTCCTGTTTTTCATTATGTCTGTTCATTTTTTTTTTAATTTTTAAAAGATATTTATTTGGCTACACCAGGTCTTAGTTGCGGCGCACAGGATCTTTGTTGCGGCACGCAGGATCTTTTAGTTGTGGCATGTGAACTCTTAGTTGTGGCATGTGATATCTAGCTCCCTGATCAGGGATCAAACCCAAGCCCCCTGCACTGGGACCGTAGAGTCTTAGCCACTGGCCCACCAGGGATGGTCCCTGTCTGTTCATTTTTGAGAGTAAAATACCACCAGTCCCTGTCTGTTCACTTTTGAGAGTAAAATACATACAAAAATGTTTCTGGAAGCTCTATGTAAGTGAGGCTTAGAGACTAAAGTAGGGCTACTGGATTGGCCAGCTGGAAATGTGGTTTGGGATCTCCAAATATCACCATCTATAACTCTTTTCTCTGGGGGTTGTTCAGTTTCTCTAAAGAAGGATCATCTAAGATGTGTGAGCCAGGCTGGAACTTCTGGAACTTCAAGTCTTATCATTCCAGTGCAGAATTTCATTTTGCCCATTTTTCTGTACTGAGTTTCACCCTTCTCTCCAGAGCATCTTTACTTCAGTTTTTCAGAAAACAAATTCCTTTGGCGAAGATTAACTACTGACAGTGAGTGGAGGGGATAAGGACACAATCTCATTTTCAGGCTCCTCCATCTCATCTCAGCCTTTTGTGGTGTTGTAGTGTCCTCCATTCTTCCACTGTTCAGAGATTCTGGGGGAAAACTGGATTTCTCTTATCGGTGCATCTCTCTGCAGACACTTAGGATTGATCTTCCTCTGATCTGCTAAATCATTTCTCTTTCCTCCATATACTTTCCTTCTTCATATGCTAAGGTTTGGGGCAACGTATCTCCTGGTTTCATCAAAAGATGAGTGTGTTTCTCTTTTGCTATTTTGGGGTAAATGCTACAAAAGGAGGAAAATGGATTCAATGGATTTCCACTTCCTTTCCCCTCATTTGCTGAAATTAATGGCTCCTCATCACCAACTCTAAGAAGTACAAAATTCTTAAGAGTTGATCCTGCTTCTTTCTTCAGGTTCACCTGTAGCAAGCCTCTTTAAACAAGACCCACATAGAGAGACTTACCTGATGGTCCTCCAGTACACAACGCTCCCTCAGAACCACCTGCTTTGTTAAATTCTCTCAGGCTGCCAGGAATCTTCCTCCCTGATTATTCACCTAAAATATTCAAGACTGTTCAAATGTCACCTCCTCCATAAAGACTTCCATGACTTCTCACCAAAGTTTCCTCCACACACATTTATATAGCAGTTGCTGCACTGCACGGTCATTGTTCACATGCTTGTTCTCCTCACTAGAATATGAGATTCTTGAAGACAAGTTTTATCCTATGAGTGTTTTCACTTCCTTTGTCAAACCAAGTAATAATAATGCTTATGGAATGCTTACTATGTATACTATGCACCAAGTACTAGTCTAAGGACTTTATATTATGAACTCATTTACTTCCCATAATAACACTATAAGGTGGGTTTTATCATCACACCCATGCTACATATGAGAACACTGCAGTGCAGAGAGGTTAAGCAACTTGTCCAATTCTATTTAATAACAGGAGAGCAGAAATCTGAATGCAGATGATCTGGCTAAGACACTATGCTCTGAACCTCTCTGACTTTTGAACTGAGTTAGGGAAAAACCAAGGCTTTCAATACAAGTCAAACAAGCTCATTCTTAGAGATAGCTACATTTTGAAGCAAATTAAAAGTTTGATTTCATTGGCTTTGTTCTCTATGCAGCCCAAGCCATACAGACCCAGAGAAAGAGGTCTAGGAAAAGATTTCTCTTATCTAGTGTTATGGACTAAATGTTTGCTTCCCCTCAAAATCCATAGGTTGAAGCCCTAACCCTGCCCCACCCTGCCCCCAGTGTGGCTGTATTTGGAGATGGGGCCTCTAAGGAAGTAATTAAGGTCAAATGAGGTTATATGGGTGCAACCCTGATCTAATAAGATTAATGTCCTTATAAGAAAAGACACCAACATCCCCCAACCCCCAATGCATGCACGATGGAAGAGAAACCTCACCAGAAACCGAATTTGCCTTGATCATGGACTTCAAGCCTCCAGAACTGTGAGACATTAAATTTCTGTTGTTTAGGCCACCCAGTCTGTGGTATTTTGTTATAGCAACTCAAACCAACTAATACAGTTTCTAATGTCTGAAGTTTGGAAAACACAGATATTCCTTCAGTGTTTTCAGAAACCAGCTGCTTTAACAGTGTTCTCTCTCCAGTGGAACTGGATTTAAACTTCCCGTGTTGTGTTTTGTTGTTTGTTTGGCTTTGGTTTTTGTTGAAAGGAAATTTTAAGACTCCATCCAATCCAGCCTTCTTTTTACCATAGGTAGGTCAATATTTGATTTTCTATTCTTTCCTTCAACATTCCCTGCAACTATAAACTTTCTGACCTTTTATCACCTTAGCTAGCTTAGTTCTTGGTCTATGCAGAAACTCAATTTCTCTTCTTAAAAATGTATATTATCAATATTATTACTGATATCAGCCATGTTTATCTTAGTTAATAATGCTAATATATTTTCTTTCCTAATGGTATTTCATTTGTAACTCTGCTATAACTGTGGAGTGAAAGTTGGGGCTGAAAGATTTCAAGTTTCAGGGACTTCCCTGGCAGTCCAGTGGTTAAGACTTTGTGCTTCTAATGCAGGGGTTGTGGGTTCGATTCCCACCGCTGCCCAAAAAAAAAGTTTCAGATGCCTGTCTGAGCACTTTAAAAACAACAAAACTTTTTTTTAATTACAAAAATTTCCAGACCCAGGAGTAGAAAGATTAGAGCCTCACACAGATCCAACATTATAAAGATTTTTGTCACACTTGCTTAATCTATTCCTTTTCCTTTTTTTTCTTTGCTGACATATTTCAGAACAAATCTAAGACACCAAGTCATTAAACTCTATGTATCTCAATATGAATCTCTTAAAAAAGGGAGACATTTTCTAATGTAAACACAATGTAATTATCTAATCTCGGAGAATTAACAATAATTCTTTTGTCTGCATGCTTCTGAAGTGAAACTACTCATACAGAATTCTGTACTATGAAAAAGTTAGCAATGCATTTGTATAGCAATATTCTGTAGACTCAAAACAGTTTTAAAGTGAAATTTAGTATGTTCTGAAATGCAAGGTGCTGATCTACCATCTAACTAAAGCTGAGCTCAAGAAGGCCTGAGACAACTCTTAAAAACACACAGGGGCTTCCCTGGTGGCTCAGTGGTTAAGAAACCGCCTGCCAATGCAGGGGACACGGGTTTGAGCCCTGGTCGGGGAAGATCCCACATACCGCGGAGCAACTAAGCCTGTGCGCCACAACTACTGAGCCTGCGCTCTACAGCCTGCGAGCCACAACTACTGAAGCCCGCGAGCCACAACTACTGAAGCCCACATGCCTAGAGCCTGTGCTCCACAAGAGAAGCCACCACAAGGAGAAGCCCGCGCACCACAACGAAGAGTAGCCCTCACTCGCCACAACTAGAGAAAGCCCACACACAGCAACGAAGACCCAATGCAGCCAAAAATAAATAAGTTAATTTAAAAAAAATACACAATATAAGGTTGAAGTCTTTGTACATTATTTTAATAAAAAACACACTGCTGTGTACAAATATACAGATCTCAAGTTGTAACATTCAAATACAGAATGCGATAAAGTAGCTTTGTGAGTTTTCTTCACTGAGACAGATTTTCTGTCACATTTAGACTTTTAAGATTATTAAGACATAATGAACAAGAGAAGTACAGATTTTCCAGCCTCATGATTAGTAAATTCCTCTGCAAAGGAATGAAGGTATTCAGTCATTAATAGGGAAACAGCTGGCAAATTAGATGACACTGCCTACATTGTATTAATGTAAGAGACACAATAAGAGATAAGAAACTGCAGTTAATGTGAGAAGTATAGGCAATATAGCTTTCTCAGACTTCTACCAATGATTATATACTTGATATATAAACATTCTTAAATGTAAAACAGTTCAGTATGATTGCATCTATATTTGTTCCACAATGACAATTTGTTTAATGTATTAATCTGATATATATTTTTGACCTGGAGTCATTTACAAAGAAATAATGAGAAATCCTGAAAAGAAACTATTAGTTCCAAGTCAAATTAAGTTTAAAAATTAAGAGATCTATGGAAAACAAAACTGTGGGTAAGAAACATTGGCTACATGCCAATTTTTATTTATAACAAATTTTTACACATAATAATCATCTTCACAAAATAATCATCTTCTTTACCTTACAAAACAAAACCCAAAAATCCTAAAATTAATCCCACAAATCCAAATTAGCAGAACTTAGAGTAACAAAGTCAGAGCCAGTCTTGTCACCTGCATGCTAATTTGATAAATCAAACTGCATCTAATCCTGTGCAGAACTGATGATGACTTTCAGCCCTTAAATAATGACAACTGTCACACAGCTCTTTTTTTAAAAGAAAGATGTACATCCAGGAAACCCAATGGAATATGTTACTTCTGAAATTCCATAAAAGCTGTAAGGCAGCCAAGTGTTGATGGTATTCAAGGACAGTAAAAGTTTGCACTCTTAATGACCATTGACAGGCTTTGTGCCAATATTCAAACAATACGCTTGTCACTGACTATCAATGCAAAGGTGAGGAAAGAAATACAATATTACATCATACCCCAGCACAAAGCTACTATATATGTATAAAAGAATCACTACTTATCTGTTGTTTTAAATGAAGTCCCGTCCAGGCATTAAGCTGGAATCTAAATGTTGATAGTGCCTAATCTCAACTCCCAAGATAAACAAAAAGAGTTTATGTGTCAAGACTGATTCTCTTTGGCCGCAGTGGATACCATTTTCTCTGGGGGCAGTCTTTAGTTCGCTTTCTTCTCAGTACCAAGTCAGTGTCTTTCCTAGCAGAAGTCTCTGCTGGTGTGGTTTCTATTTGTGCTATAAAGCTCTCAGGTTTAACATCTGGTTTCCTACAACTGGAAAACACTTCTTGGTGGACTCTCTGGAGCTGGATAATAGGCTGCATCTTTAAAACTTGGGAAAATCCATTTCCTTGTTCAATTAATGCAGGCAAGGACTTAAAAAACAAACAACAGTAATACTTAACATTAATCTCAGGTTGAAACACAAACACACAGAGATAGACACAACACTTGAGTATTTTAACTCTTCAGATCAAGGGTTTTGCTAAAACCTAATTTTTTAGGTCATAGAATTCGACTTTACCTTAAAATACCAGTTTTAGCTGAGGAATTTTAATAAAAAGCTAAAACTAAAAAGATATGTTCTGTTCCTATAATGCCTGGTACTAAAATAAAACTGGCAAAACAGGAGGTAACAGAATTTCAGAGTTTAAAATTTAATGTCTGAAATTCCATATTTTACGATAGTAAGTATTTTAGAAATCTTAATTATCAAGAGCAGGGATCAGCACATTTTTCTGTAAAGGGCCATACAGTAAACATTTTAGGCTCTGAGGGCCTTTACATCTGTCACAATTATTCAACTTTCCTGTTGTAATGTAAAGAAGCCATAGACAATAAGTAAACGAATGTACATGGCTGTGTTCCAAAATAGTTTTATTTACAAAAACAGGTGGCAGGCTGGATTTTACCCTGTCCCACCACAGTTTGCCAACTCCTGATTAAGAACATGTTATGAGAGCTTCCCTGGTGGCGCAGTGGTTGAGAGTCCGCCTGCCGATGCAGGGGACACGGGTTCATGCCCCAGTCCGGGAAGATCCCACATGCCGCGAAGCGGCTGGGCCCGTGAGCCATGGCCACTGAGCCTGCGCGTCCGGAGCCTGTGCTCCGCAATGGGAGAGGCCACAACAGTGAGAGGCCCGCATACCGCCAAAAAAAAAAAAACGTTATGAGAGAAGTGTGAGTACCAGAAAATCATGGCATCAGTACAAACCACAAAAGAGTGTTACAGAAGATGATCAAAACAGAGGAGATTCTGAAGGAGTTTTAAAATAATTTTCCTGTACTAGAAATCTAAATATTTTCTGTTTGGGCAAAATAAATGTCAATAATATAAACAATTTTATGATAATATTAAAACTCCAAGTTGGATATACAGTTGATGGAAGAAATTTTCACATATTGAGGTATGGGGAAATCACTCTGGCTTATACATGATTTAGCCTGAACTTTATGCTAACTGAAACAGCCTGTCTTGTGGCCTGTCAAACATACATTGTACATCTGCTTTCATCATTAAAGAAAAGAATTTGTTCATCATCCACTTACATAAAGGGTTAAACTGCAACCCACTGCAGCCACCCAAGACAGTGAGCCCTCAGGGGAATTCAGGCATTCTGTGCTTTGGATATATAGGCTTCTAGATAGTTAAGATGCATATTTAAGGATGAATTTCAATGACCCCAGATTCTTGCATCTTCCCATACACAGAAAATATCCTAAATTCATTCACCTGAGATGTCTGTTCTTTGTGGTTAGCAGTAATCTTTTACCAAGCTGTGAACTTGACCACAGTTTTTCCAGCCAAAAAAATTCATATATCCTGTCTCCTCCCCTACCCCTTCAGAGCAGTCCCAGCAGAGCTACTGAGAAGCTGTTTCCTGGGCTATAGTCCTCAGTTTGGCTCTAATAAAACTCTTCTTCTATTCTTATTGTATATTTTTTATTGATTATTTGCATCAACACAGTATAATATAGTGGCTAAGAGTATAGGCTCTGGAGCTAAACATCTAGGGTTTAAATCCTGGCACAATTACTTATTTGGGCAATTTACTTAGCCCCCCTGTGCCTTGGTTTCCTTAACTGTAAAACAGTAGCAGTACCTATCTCAGAGGGTTAGTGTAAGGATTAAATGAGGAAATATAATACATGTAAAGCAGTTAAATGGTGCCTAATCCATACTAAATGCTGACTAAATGTTAACTGGTATTATTATCCAAAATTGTTTGGTGGATTGCTAACTCTCAGAACTCAAAAATATAACCACCCTTTAAAGAAGCCAGGTATAATACTGGCACATAGTAGGTGTCTAATAAATGGTAATTATTCGGAATGTTATCATCACTTAACAAATTCATTAAAGATCTATTTAAAAGACTACTGAGAATTCCTGTTACAACAGACTAAAACACCTAAGAATGCTAAAAGCAAACACCTAGCCACACATGTTATTCACTTATAATTTAGTATGTAGCTTTTACCTTCATGGCTTCACTGATCTCCTTAGCTATTGTTTCTCCTCTGCATTTCAAATTTTCCATACGAGGGGCTGCAAAGAAACCGTCAAACAGTATTTTAGGCTTTTTATCTAATACCAAGTCATAAAAGACATGCAGATGCTATCTGGACAACAATCTGTTAGAATTATTCACCTTAGCTCAATCTTTCTTAGAATACTTTGTAATCTATTTAAAACAAGTGTCCTATTAAGTTTATCCAGATAAATAAAAAAGACTGTGAAAATATTAGAATAGCAGAGAAAAACTTATGGTTATAAGTATAAAATGATAGACAGGGATGTCCCTGGTGGCACAGTGGTTAAGAATGTGCCTGGCACGGGTTTGAGCCCTGGTCTGGGAAGATCCCACATGCTGCAGAGCAACTGAGCCCGTGTGCTACTACTACTGAGCCTGTGCTCTAGAGCCCACGAGCCACAACTACTGAAGCCCATGCGTTTAAAGCCTGTGCTCCACGAGAAGCCACCGCAATGAGAAGCCTGCACGCTGCAACAAAGAGTAGCCCCTGCTCACTGCAACTAGAGAAAGCCTGCGTGCAGCAACGAAGACCCGATGCAGCCAAAAATAAATAAATATGTTTTTAATAAAATAAAATAAATAAAATGATAAACAAGAACTGTACTATGAGTAGTCTTAACACTGTGTGTCCCTAAAAAAGAACCTAATGTTTGTTCTGCATATTATCTACCACTATGTTTAACATTTTCAAGCACTATCATCACATTTTAAAATAAATATAGGCTAATATTTCGTATCTGTAGTACTCTGAATTTTATAAAAGTAAAACATATTTGAACTTAGAATATACAGTCACACTACATCAAAGACACCTAGATGGAATTTCTGAAAAAGAAAATGTGGAATAGATTGTCAGTAATATTCATTTTTCTTTCCTTACTTCCTCAATGCTTTTTTTTTAAATTATTTGTTTATTTATTTACTTATTTATGGCTGCGTTGGGTCTTGGCTGCTGCACGCGGGATTTCTCTAGCTGCGGCAAGCAGGGGCTACTCTTCATTGAGGCATGGGGGCTTCTCATTGTGGTTGCTTCTCTTTTTGTGGAGCATGACATCTAGGCACACAGGCTTCGGTAGTTGTGGCACACGGGCTTAGTCGCTCTGCGGCATGTGGGATCTTCCCGGACCAGGGCTCGAACCCATGTCCCCTGCATTGGCAGGCGGATTCTTAACCACTGCGTCACCAGGGAAGCCCCACTCGATGCTTTTCTGATTCCTAATACATTTTCTTTTCTTCCAATCTGTGTTACAAATGTTTGTGCCTACTTCATAACAGAACTGCATATTTAATGATACTTCTGTATAAGAATCCTAATAAAACTCCAAGTGAAACTGGAGATAAGAAAAATCATTCCATTATGAAATCATCTACAAATTAGTTTTTTTTGTTTTTTTGTTGTTGTTGTTGTTTTGCGGTACGCGGGCCTCTCACTGTTGTGGCCTCTCCCGTTGTGGAGCACAGGCTCTGGACGCGCAGACCCAGTGGCCATGGCTCACGGGCCCAGCCGCTCCGCGGCATGTGGGATCTTCCCAGACCAGGGCACGAACCTGTGTCCCCTGCATCGGCAGGCGGACTCTCAACCACTGCACCACCAGGGAAGCCCCTACAAATTAGTTTTTAGAAGAGTAGTTCTCACTAGAAATTTCTTAAAGTCTAAACAAGTATATAACTATGTTAGGAAGGCCACAGTTTTATTGACTTCAAGATTGGCAAATGAGCCAAGCAAAGAATTTCTTTCATAGCTGCTCTTTTTCTTTTCTGACTTTTCTTGGCTCAAAAAAGTGAGAACACATTTAGAAAAAAGAAAATGAATAGCAAAGGCAACTGAGAGATGCCGGAGAGGGTGTGGAGAAAAGGGAACCCTCTTGCACTGTTGGTGGGAATGTAAATTGATACAGCCACTATGGAGAACAGTATGGAGGTTCCTTAAAAAACTAAAAATAGAACTACCATATGACTCAGCAATCCCACTCCTAGGCATAAACCCTGAGAAAACCATAATTCAAAAACACACATGCATCCCAATGTTCATAGCAGCACTATTGATAACAGCCAGGTCATGGAAGCAACCTAAACGGCCATGGAAAGATGAATGGATAAAGAAGATGCGGTACACATATACAATGGAATGTTACTCAGCCTTAAAAAGGAAAGAAACTGGGTCATTTGTAGAGACGTGGATGGACCTAGAGGCTGTCATACAGAGTGAAGTAAGTCGGAAAGAGAAAAACGAATATCTTTTATTAATGCATATATGTGGAATCTGGTATAGATAATCTTATTTGCAAAGCAGAAACAGAGACACAGATGTAGAGAACAAACATGGATATCAAGGGGGAAGGGGCAGGGTGGGATGAACTGGGAGATTGGGACTGACATACACTATTGATACTATGTATAAAATAGATAACTAATAAGAACCTACTGTATAGCACAGGGAACTCTACTCAATGCTCTGTGGTGACCTAAATGGGAAGGAAATCCAAAAAAGAGGGAATGCATGTATATGTATAGCTGATTCACTTTGCTGTACAGTAAAAACACAACACTGTAAAGGAATTATACTCCAATAAAAATTAATTAAAAAAAAAAAGGAACTGAGAGAATGGGCACTTAAAGGAGAAAGGCAAAGGCAACATGATAGCCTCAGAAAAAGCGTTCTTTTTTTTTTTTTTTTTTTTTTTGCGGTATGCGGGCCTCTCACTGTTGTGGCCTCTCCCGTTGCGGAGCACAGGCTCCGGACGCGCAAGCTCAGCGGCCATGGCTCACGGGCCCAGCCGCTCCGCGGCATGTGGGATCTTCCCAGACCGGGGCACGAACCCGTGTCCCCTGCATCAGCAGGCGGACTCTCAACCACTGCGCCACCAGGGAAGCCCAGAAAAAGGGTTCTTGACCTTTTTTTGTTCCCAGAGATTTCTTTGGCAATTTGGAGAAGCCTATGGACCCCTTCTCAGAATATTTTTTAATGTATTTATTTTTTTAATTGAGGTATATGTACATACAGTTAAATGCAGAACTTAAGTTCAGCATTCAATCACCTTTGACAAATGTACACCAAAGACATGGGACATTTCCACCACTCCAAAAAGTTTTCTTGTGCGCCTTTCCCAATCTTCTATACAAGAAGCAACCACTCATCTGATTTCTATCATTATACGTTAGTTTTGCTTACTCTAGAATTTCAGAACAATGTTTTAAAATATAATTTAAAAATATAATTACTTAAAAATTGCAATAGGTAATATAGGCGCTTCTTTATTAATGATTTAAGCAAAAAGATCGAGCAGCAGGTCTAATTACCATAATAAGAAAATAATGAGCATAAACAATATTGCAAAGTGTCTGCAACAACTGAAACTAAAAATATCCGTGGCTTCCAGTAGCAAAAAAAAAAATTACAGGTACTGCTAATACTACCACCATTACCTGCATTCAAAATCGAAGGAAATGCTAAATTTCAGTTTGAGGTTAATAAAAATAACAATGTAATTTTTTTTCCTCTCCAAGTTCACAGCCTCCTATATTCTCAGGACCCTTGCCTTAAAATAGTATGCTAATTTAATTTCAATTCTTTTACGATTTGGGGAGATTCCCGCAAGAGCACTCAGGCAATTATTAAATTTTCCCCTGGGTATATGGCAAATAAATGATCCAACCTTCAGTACTCTTGTAGCAATCTGGCTTCCAGCCAGGCCCACATTCTCTCCTCATCAAACTTGCACACCTGTGTGGAGCTGCCCATTCTTCTAACATTTATTATGTACTTTCCATGGACAAATACCAGTAGTTAGGTATTCAGAGTAAGGAAAAATGGTCTCTGCCCCTCAAGGAACTTTCAGTTTAAAAGAGACACATGGAGGGCTTCCCTGGTGGTGCAGTGATTGGGGGTCCGCCTGCCAATGCACGGGGCGGGGGTTCGTGCCCCGGTCCGGAAGGATCCCGCGTGCCGCGGAGTGGCTGGGCCTGTGGGCCATGGCCGCTGGGCCTGTGCGTCCGGAGCCTGTGCTCCGCGACGGGAGAGGCCACAGCGGTGTGAGGCCCACGTACCGCCCCCCCCCAAAAAAAGAGACACATAGAAACATATAGAAACGAGTCATACTTTTTCAAAATCATCTCAAACTTGCCCCAGGCAGTCTCTAGTTTCCATGATCACTGCCATACATTCCACTCCCTGCCTGAACTGCCCATTCCCCTGTGACAGGCTCCCACTGGGTCCTGAACAGTTCCAGTAAAATACCTGGAAGACTCCACTGCACTAACTTGTCTAGAAGAGTGTTTCTCAACCTTATCGGATCTAACCTTCCCCTTTAAAATGTATTTTGTAAAGTCCCCTTTGCTATTCTAAAATAAATTTCATAGATATTTCTACACACATAAGTGGAAATACAGACATATATACTTATCATAATAGAGTATTATTTAATATATTGAATATGTTCAGATCCAACCATATCAAAAAAATGTAATGAAGTACTCAGATGCCTGAGTATTCAAATGCCTGGGTACATATGGATTTAAGAAAATTTATATTTAGAAGCCATTCTATACAGAAAACAAAAGATCAGAGACTATTCCATATAGAAAACAAAAGATAAGAGAAATAAGACTAGATTTATTTGACTATGACGAGGAGGAAATAATCTTAAGAGTGTGGATAACATACCAACACAAAATACAGGAGGTTGAAATGGTGAAAATTAGGAAGTACAATATATCTACAAATGAGATGGCCTTATTAAAAGTGTCATATCAGGGCTTCCCTGGTGGCGCAGTGGTTGAGAGTCCACCTGCCGATGCAGGGGACACGGGTTCGTGCCCCGGTCGGGGAGGATCCCACATGCCGTGGAGTGGCTGGGCCCATGAGCCATAGCCGATGGGCCTGGGCGTCCGGAGCCTGTGCTCCGCAGCGGGAGGGGCCACAATAGTGAGGGGCCCACGTGCCACAAAAATAAATAAATAAATAAATAAATAAAATAATAAATTCCCTACATTAAAACATGGGAAAGTGTAAGAT